AAACAAACAAACAAGCAAAAAGACAAAAAGACAAACAAACAAACAAACAAACAAACAAACAAACACAGACAAAGAAACAAAGAGACAGAGAAACAAAGAAGCAAAGAGAGAAACAGAGAGACAAAAAGAAAGAAAGAAAGAAAAAAAGGAAAGAAAGGAAAGAAAAGAAAAAAAAGGGAGAAAATACGAAAATTTCGAGAAATTTCGAATCGGGCAGATCCCCAAATTTCCCGAAAATTTAATCCATTACTTTTTTTGGAAAGCCGCTCAATTCTGAAGAAATTTGGAGGGGTAACGTTTAAGATCTACGAGCCGAGTAGCCGGCAAGCCACCAATTTGGGGAAATTTGGCCAGGTTATACCGCGAGAACTCTAAGCGAAGATCCAAAAAACCCCCCCGATATTTCATCAAAATTTCAAGGCCAAGAATTTGTGCCGCGGAGAAAAGACCGAGACAAATATAACCGTTCACCGCAAACATGACGATTCGGCCGGAATACAGCTACAACGACTCTATAATGCACAAAAAATGCGACCCCCGAAGCCGTACCGATTTATAAGAGAATTATCTATACTCTTTAATAATTACAATTTCAAATCTTCATAAATTACATTATTATATATATATATATATAAATACATACTCTAATAATTATATATAATAATAACAATCAATAATAATAATAAACATCATAATAATAAATAAATATAATAGCAATATTAACAATAATAACATAATATTTATTAAACCACTCAATTATACATATCTATATATATACATCATTATCTTCACCTCATTCAAAACACCAACAAAATAAAACACCACCAATACCTAATCTACAATAAATAACACCTCAAAAGCGCATTTATCCACATTCAAATCAATATCAAATCTATAACAAATTCTCAACATTTATATATGCCATGTTTATATTATTTTAATAATAATAATATTAATATATTGTTTAATCATACCACTAAGCCCATCTCAAAAATAGCACACAAATAAATAAATGTCTTCGTATAACCATTCCTATATCATCAATCCATTCGTATACACCGCCATTTATCCATCCATATATCCATATATACGTTCCTATATATTTTCATACCTATCCCTTCTATGGGGGTGGGGTGGGAGGGGAGGGTTAGGTGGTTAGGTGGATGGTTGGGTGGGTGGTTAGGGTGTAGTTGAGTTGGTTTAGGGCCGGTTAGGATCGGCTTGGGGTTAGTTTGGGCTGATTTAGGATTAGTTTAGGGTTTAGGCTTAGTTTAGAGTTAGTTTAAGGTTAATTTAGGGTTAGTTTAGGGTTGGTTTAGAGTGGGTGTAAAGTTAGGTTAGGGTTAGTTCTTGGTGGGTTTAGCATTAGTTTAGGGTTAATGCTAAGGGTTGGGGGTGGATTAGTTTAGGGTTACGAATTGTAATCAAGCTATCCTATGTGTCAGAATGCAAAGGTGCGAGCTCAGGTCAGGGGCTTGAGGGGCCGGGGGGGGAAGGGTCCCTACTCTTGCGGGGGTGGGGGGGGGGGTTAGTGGCCTGGGGACTGGAACATGTATATATATATATATGTTATATATGAAATATACAATTATTGCACTGTTATTCTCACCACCATTATGAATATTGAATATCGATACTTGTTCAAGCCACACCCCACTTGCAAGTTCACTACCACTTCTGCAGCAAGATGAGGGATCTTTGGCGCGCGGCTCGTCGCGAGGCGTCCTCCAACTGGATCTTGTGTGCGCAGGAGGTTCTTCATGAGCTTCGCTCCCGGGAAAGCCTGCATGGGGGATGTGGTGGGGACGTTCAACAGAACGTTGGTCAGAACTACCAGCCTGCCAACAAAGGCTGTTAAATCACAAGGATAAATTCAGGGCCTTGCATGTCTTACATGAACCTGGGTCAAAATGCGCAAGTTTCCGTGGACACGGCTGAACATGAGTAGCTCGCCTTTTTTCCGTGGTCATTGTGAGATTGCTGTTGGTCCTCGAGTTGATCATAAAGTGGAATTTAACCGAACACGTAACCTAGGTCCTCCAGTAGAGAGGTTAGAATAAGTTGGTACCCTTGTTTCTGTATTCTATTTTAGTAGGGGAACCCTCCCAACCAAAAAAGGGGTGAGGAAGGGCACCTGGCTGGGGGACCTAGTAACCGACCCAACTTCACACGAGGATTGGGCCTCGGTCACGAGGTCGTCTTATGTGCCGATGAAGCCACATTTGTCATCGTCGCGTGAAGTGGTACTCCATACGGACCTCGGGCAAGAAGGGTGCAAAGGCCAAAGCGTCGCGACACGAACTCGGAAATGACTCCACGAAAATGGTCCAAACCCAAAAAGTGGGTAAAGTCCATGAACTCAGGGAGTGAGTTGATTTGGACATGACTCCCCAAATAACAAATCTGGACTCTTTCGCACCAAGCCATCACTCTGTGGAAGCTGCGGACTCTGACGTCGAGGTCCTCGGAACGCGTCTCCGAGGCGTTGGGTTGGATTGGGTGCCGGACAAGTTTGGGGCAGACCTTCAAACCTGGGCTGAAAGGGCAAGGAACAGCGAGGGCCGACCCAAATGTGTGTTAGAACGGGGCCTGTTGTTCTGCAACCGAAGGAGTCTTGCAACAACCACCGCCCATCCACTCGAATTCCATCTCAATGCCAACGAATCGGAAAAGCTTCCAGGAACCTGCAGTGGGCTTCAGTCAGCTGCCCCGCAATCCCATTTCTCCAGTTCTTAAAGCCCGCGCATTGCATCCCGAAACCTCGAGTGGACGATGGATCGCCATCGTGCAGGGAATGGGGAGGACCATGAAGCTGCGATGTTCTGCTGACCACTTTTGCTAAAAGGGGGTCCACCTTGGATCTTTAGTCGCCCAACGGTCGAGCAATCCTTGAACATTGTGTTTGTTTGTTGCGGGAAGACATTGAGAAGAAAGCGAGAAAGATGCCTTTGAACAATTAGGTTGGCCTGAGAACATGTCAGCGTGTCTTGCTGTTCCCCCAGCAAGGGCCCCGCATACGCACCCATGCCCACACCCACACAATAAATCCAACACTGCGCAGCACAACACAACATAACACAAGACAGGACAGCACAAGACAAGACAGGACAAGATAGCGCGGCATAAGACACGAAAGACAAAACCAGACAACATGACAAGAAAAGCCAATATAACAAGGCAAGACAAAGACAGCACCAGCCAACAAGACAAGACAAGACAAGACAAGACAAGACAAGACAAGACAAGACAAGACAACACACACACACACACATGAAAACACGACCCTGCCACACAAACACAACACAACACGAGAACAGAACACAACGCAGCACATCGCAAAGGAAGGCGAAACTCAGCATACACACCCATGCCTGGACGCCCACGTACAAACATGAAGAACCAAGACAGCAAAACGTCCAGTTACATCAAAGCTAGTGCGTTGGTTGCTGTTCGGTTGCCATTCTCTCGAAGTGGCAAAATTTCGCCCAAAGCAAAGCCAGGGCTTCACATCCCCAGTGCTCGCCGATCCAAACCACCAACTCCAAGCAATTCACCTGGCCACTTGGTCTTGGTTAAAGTCAGACACTGGGTAATCACTACCCTTACACCAACCACTTTGGGCTGTCTAAAAGAAAGTGCCAACTCACCGCCCCAGGCTCGACAATTTGCCGCTTCGCGGCGGTGGGTTGTCCTCCTTCTCCTCTAAGAAGCCCAAGTGCCGGTAGAAGGGCACGGCCTGCATGCAGCGGAGCCTTGGGGCAACCCTGTGGGCATGTTTCACCCGCTGAAACCCCAACCCGGAAAGCACCCCACACCGGTTCCACCCACGTCCAAAAGACAAGCAACACACCCAAAACCCGGAAGCTGATCTTCCACTTTTCAGGTCCATTTCAGGGTGAAAACCAGGGCCACGGGGGCCCCCTGAGATGGCCAGATTCCTTTGTTTCCTCTCGCCCTGCGACGACCTGGGACCCTGGAAGCTGGGACCTTTGGCTCGACACTCAGGTCGACCCCGGATCTACGTAGAACCTGGGGGGTTTTGCTGGGGGGGGGGTTCTGCCAGAAAACACCCGCCTCAAAACTGGAACCAGAGAACCACACGGAAACTCTGTCTCCACCCCCACCCACCACCCCCCCGCCACCCCCGCCCCCCCGCCACCCTCCCCCCCAACCCCAGCCCCCAGCCCCCAACCCCCAACCCCCAACCCCCAACCCCCAACCCCCAACCCCCAACCCCCAACCCCCAACCCCCAACCCCCAACCCCCAACCCCCAACCCCCAACCCCCAACCCGCAACCCCCAACCCCCAACCCCCAACCCCCAACCCCCACCCCCCCCTTCCTTCCCCCACCCCCACCCACACCGGAGCCTCCGTTTCTATCCGGGCCAGCATCAAAACCAGGAAAATGCAGAGCCGACACTTTCAGTTGACAGCACTCAAAAGAAATAAGATGTCGTGCTTGTTCTTTCCTGCGGCAAGGACAGGGCTTGTGAATAGCATATACAGCGCAAGCACCGTAGAAGAAATCATTGTATAAGAAATTGCAAACCAAGTAGGTTGCAACTGAATTTGCTGCTAAGAAATTGAGCCGCCCTGGACTCTTCGTCCGATTTCTTAGCAAACTTCTGTGATAAAGAGAGAATTTTTGACCATCAGGGAAGTGCCCGTTAAGAAATCCAGGGGCTCAATCTCTTGGCGGCCTTTTCGTGATGAAAAACGTCTAAGAAATTCAGGGGCTCAATTTCTTAGCAGCCTTTTCCTGTGATGAGAGGCTCAATTTCTTAGCGGCCTTTGTTGGTGTAGTGATATCACCCCCCCTGCATTGGTTCAATTCCCGGCGCGGGCATTTTAGCGGTTGAAAATGAGCCGATGGTCAAACAGGGGACCGAAAAGGCCGCCAAAGATTCTTGCAGGCCTGGACGCTCGCACTGTGTCCAATCACGCAAACCTGTGTAAATGGAAACACAGGGATTGGGTAGGGAGAATCCTACCGAATCTTCACCGCCCAAGTGAAAGTCTCTCTCTCTCTCTCTCTCTCTTAAATGAACCCTGGCAAACACTCCATGTTTCCAGTATCATCTAAGCCTCGGCCCCCCTAAAAGCGGGTGCCAATCTTCACATGGCCACCAATCCGGCCTCAGGTGTTGCGGATAGGCTCACTCGATTACATTCCTCGGAAGCCCGGAGTGGTCACTCAAAGCTGTTGTCAAAAACATATTGCGGATGGCTCAAAAGCAATGGTACCATTTTGGGCTAGGTGCACCACCCATTTTAGTCTATTTTAGTGGGGATTGGGATGCTCGCTGGGGGTACGGGCTTTTGACCCATGGCCATATTGCGGATGGGCAAAATCCGTTTCGCAGCCGTCGCGATTGCTGTTTGGTCTTGTCGAGGGTCCGTGCAGCAATGGTTGGAATTGGATCGGTGGAGATTCCTTGTAACACATTCCACACCTGATCCACGGTTCCCTTGGCCTTCCACCCAGAAAGGGTCACACTTGTTTGCCGTCAAAAGTGGGCCCAAGCGAACGTTGCATGAACGAACACAAAGGACATGGGGACATAAGTGAGTCCCCTGTGTTTGGTGGAACATGGTTCTGGAAAGTGGAACAGCGATTCAATCCTCACATAAACATCTCTACTCTTGGTATGGGCTTGCGAACAACTTGTTGTTTTTTGCAGACCAGTAAAACTGAACAGAACCAAAAAGCCCAAAAAACAAAAACATGAGCCAAGAACAGCGAGGTAAAGAAAGCACGCTGCATTGCAACACAACTGCGTCTCAAACAGGGGGAACCAATGCTCTATGGAGTCATATGCAACAACCTGGCGTCGACCTTGAAGCTATCCATCGACTTGGCTTCTGTTTCTTGCTTTAGAAAGCCACTGCTAACACCAAGGGTTGAAGCTTCATCCTCAAACCTTTTCTCCTTCCCAGGAATCTGTTAACTCCTTTCGGTTGCAGGAATGTACATCGGTGGCAAGTGCAGCTAATTTGAAAGGAAACCAATCAGCCACCTGGGCCCGAATTTTGAGAATCAAAGCAACTCAAACTTCGACATAGCCCCCTGGTGACACTGGATTTCAAAGACTCTGACTCCTTTTCGATTGCAGGAATGTACATCGGTGGCAAGCGCAGCTAAATACCAATCGACCACCTGGACCCGAATTTTGAGATTCAAACCGACTCAAACGTTGACATAGCCCCCTGGTGACACTGGATTCCTGCAAACAGGACATGGGAGTGGCCTCCTTTCACGTGCTTGGGAAAGTGACGGAGCCCCTCACTAAAGAGGACACGCCTTGGGACCCTCAAAAGTTTCGGTCGTCGAACGGGCCTTTTACTTGAACTGCTTGTGGTTGGATGTGGTTGGTTCACTTTTAACTTTTAACATTTTGGGGAACCCACCCGTACCCAACAAACACACAGAAGGGTAGGGTTGGGTCAGGACCCACCTGGAAGCAGAGCAGGCTCCCTGAATCAAAACTGAATGAGGTCTGTGAAGACTTGTTCTTTCCCTGAAAGATAGCCACCAAAAACAAGGGACGGAAGTTCAGTCGAGGTTCAGGGTGAGACTGGGGCCCATTATACTGTAGCAGGCGGAGATTCTAACAAACCCTGCGTGTAGGTAGAATCCATCCCCAGAGTTGCCCCCCATTTGACCCAATCGGGTAGAAATGTAGTGAAGGGTAAAGAGAAACCCACGGGAATCTACTTTCCGATCATCTAACTTTGTCTCGGAACAACCCTGATGCCTTTTTTCTATATAAAGATGTTTTAAGCACACTCACACGACATGTTCAAATTAGACCCCAAACATGATGGTTGTCCTTTTGGCTTCCCTGCAAGCCTAGCTGACAGGCTCAGAGAAAAACAAACAACACCTCCAAAACTCTAAAAGGGGCTACCTGAAGAGGAGACTCGAGACTCTTTCAAAATGATGGGTTTGTGGGTGTCATGCTAATCTGGGCTGTCCGTTTTCAGATCCCCCGCTAAAAGTGACGAACTTTTGGTGGGTTAAACGGAAATCCCCACTAAACACTGAAAGGCTAAAAAGCTAAGGGGATGGCTGGGAACCACCAAGTAATCTAACAGACAACACAAACTGAAAATAATCCAGGCGCATGCCGCGGCTTCTGCTTGGCCTTCTGGATGGCCCAGCTCACCTATGACATCCGGTTGCTTTGCTGTTGACAGTCCCCATGTATGCGTTAAATGTGTATTTTCCAGGTCCTCCAGTAGAGAAGTTAGAATAAGGGTACCAACTTTTCTCGGCAGTCTGGTTTAGTGAGGGAACCCCCCCCCCCCAAAAAGGGTAAACGGGCGCTACTGGGGGACCTAGTATATGTATCAACATCCCGATGGGCGCACTTGCAGGCGCATTTTTGACTAGGCGCCCCACGATTTGGGTGATGCATTGCCTTCTTGAAAGCCTTACGTTTCGCTGTTTTCAGTCCAGTGATCAGACAAAAGGCGCACTCGCACATCCCTCCGGATGA